TTGTGACGATGGTACATTAGAACATATAATTATCTTTCTGGACATTATCTATTGTCCTGTTTCTGTTTTGAAAAGAACGTTTCGGAGACTGGGGTCAGACAGGGACCAGTTCTATCGATTGGGACCAACTCAATAGGTTTTTACCTGCAGAAAGAGACAGATTCCAGTCTCCGAAACGTTCTTTTGAAACAGAAACAGGACAATAGATAATGTCCAGAAACATGATGTCTCTACTAAAAGTTAAACCGTTTTTAATTTGGGAGGACTGAATTTTTCGTTTCCTGGGGAGGGAGCTTTCAGTCTTGCGCCGCTACTGACCTCAGGTATCATTCACTTCCACCTCCTTTACCCTAAGACAAACAAATTAAGCAGATTTTTAGAGATTAAGCTGAAGGATTTAGTGGTATATAAATCATTTCTTAAGATGTGAAGTTTTCACGGCGGCGGAAGTTGATAAAATCTTCTACTGCTATCAGACCCTGCTCATGGGGACAGAGATGGTTCCTGAAACGTGGGTAGTGTTCAAACAAATGACACGGCTGATGGCTCGAGAGGACTCGTTACGTGACCGACCGGAATCTCGCCTGGCCTTTTTCGTGATTTCCCTGTCAGTAGAGGCAACAGCGGGATATGTATCTTCAGAAGTTAAAAATCTTTCCAAATGTTATACTGCTTTGTACAGTTTACATTTAGAACAGCGAATACAAGACGCAATCGATCGCATATGACGAATGTCATTTACCCGAACGGCGGTCCGTAAGAGCAGTGCTGGTGGGCTCCCACGGCTCTGGGTGCCCCTCCCCCCAGCTACAGTCACCCCCAGATCCCTTCACCATGACATTTTATATGTAACACATGGCGTGCTGCTTCTAACGATTTTTTCGAGCTTCCAGTAAGTCAAGCCCATGTTATGCAAACAGCGACCCAGGCGTGTATCGCAGAGCCCATAATGAGTATCTGACACTGAAAGATCGAGACCGAATTCCATTCCTCCAGAGGCATGACGTGGCACCCCGTGCGTAATGGTGTGGCCATCACACACGATTTCTCTGTTCATTTATTTTACTTATGTATTTATTCATTCGTTTACCGATTCATGATTTATTCACAGGCACTTCCAGTACCTCCGATTATAGGCCTGTGATAACTTATGCGGCCGATCAAGTGGCCGCGCGGTATAAGGCATGAACTGTCTTCACTTCTCGAACACCGGGTTCGAATTCCACTTGAGACATGGATGTCTGTGTGCAATTATTCTGTGTTTGTGCTATCCTGTATGCAGGTAGCGGCCTTGCGACGGGCTGATCCCCCTTGTAAGGAATCCTACCGACAATGTAAAAGATCAAGGAACTGGAAAAGGGACCAAAGCCCAACAAAGGGCCTTTAGAGCCATAGACAAATAGCAAAATTGCTTGGCTTGTTTCCATCAGCCTCTTTAACACACCCAAATTATGTAATCAGGAGTAAGAGACCCACATTGATTTCGGCAACGCTGTCCTTTTTCTGAGATGATTCAGTTGGTAGGTTACATAACGCACTAATCGAGAGGTTCCCGATTGTACGCGCAAGTCCTTGCAGTGGTAGAGCTGGGTTATCCTGTGTGCTGTGTCCGCTTGCTTACAGATCTTTTACCTTATCACTGTTTGCTGTGACCTGGCAGAGCCAACACATTTTATTCTTCTCCTCTCAGCCCCCTCATTGAACCGGTACCGGGGGCTCATTCCGTGGGAATAAGGCGGCCGGGACGAGGAGCTAACTACTCACGCTAAGAATGTATGGCACTGTACCTCCACTCTCCCATACGTCTTCATGGTGTGGAACTTAATCAAGCACAGGGACGATATTCTTTATGTTTCACCTTATTCGAGAGGAGCCGGGATAGCTCAGTCGGTATAGTGACTGGCTATGGGCCAGGGTTCGAGTCCCGGCTGGGACAACAATTTTCTCTTCTCCGCAGTGTCCAGACCGGCTCTGGGGCCCACCCAACCTCCTATCCAATGGGTACCAAGGGTTCTTTCCTCGGGGGTAAAGAAGCAGGGGCGTGAAGCTGACCACTCACCTCCAACTAGTGCCGAGGTCAAGAAAGCATGGATCTGTACATCCACTCCCCCATACGCCTTCATGAAGCAGTGCTTATTAGTTAAGTACAGGGACAACTTTACCTTTTTGTCTTATTCGGTGGCCTGTGACCTCAAAAGCTGAATCAACGTCTAAACGAAGTTCAGCTGTCACACAGCGCTGCAGCTAACCTCCTTAATGGTGTTCGCAAATGTATGGTCACTGGCCGAGTACCGGTCCACGTGACAAGGGTAGCGCTCGATTTATGAGGGAGCGACCGGGCGCGGTCGCCCCAGGCCTCCATAAAACAGAAACAGAATAGACAGATTTTACTGAGGCGTTCGCTTCTCTGAGGAGACGAAAGTCGCTTTGTACTTATAGCATTTATGAGAAAGAAGAAGAGAAAACTAGTGGTCATAACCTAAGCACGAATATTGTTGAAGAAAGCAGTCTTCTGGGATTTGGCACCGTGTATATGTGGTGTGGTGTAACACCACATATACACGGTGCCACACCCCAGAAGACTGCTTTCTTCATAGTCACCGCCGTGAAAGCCTCAAATCTTACACGAATATTGTTACTGAAAGGGGTCCCCACAACTGCAAATTCGGCCCTGGCAAGGAGGCAAGGCGACATTTAAATGAGTTAGAGAAAGTAAGGGGAAACATAAAAACAAATGAATATAGCATTGCGTGTGTATCATGAACTATTATGTGCTGTTTCTCTGATTGGGCGGGGAGCAGGAGTGTTTCTTGAGAAGGCAACAAGTATTAAATTATGTTAAAAGTCAGCTATGCTGTTCTCCATGTTTATGCCTCACTTCATCAGGCACAGGTGAATGCTGATGTGGGTACAACAATGTAGCGGCATCACTCCTTACACGTGTATGGAGCAACAGGAGAAAACTGCATTATGAGACATTGTTAAACTACGAAAAGGATGTGATGGGTAGAATGCGTAGCACAAATTTTAATTGTGAAAACGTCAACGGGCCATTAACATAGACGTGTCGGTACATGTATATAAAAACGGAGCCCACAGAACTGGTTGGCCTAGAGCACTGGTTCCCAGACTTCTGCGAGCCAGCGCCCCCTCCCATGTCCCCCTTTCCCTGCCACACAAAAAGCATTCTTCAGAACAGCCGTTTGCACAGCTCACTAAGGACGATAATAGCAATGAAACAAGATGCCGCATTCAGTAACTGTTTANAAATTTCTAACCAGGGCCGCGCCATAGCTCAAGCGGTTAGTCGCTGGCTTCACACCGCGGCGGTCCGGGTTCGATCCCGGGTCTGGTCAAGTGGAATTTATGATGGACAAAGTGGCGCTGGGGCAGGTTTTCTCCGAGTACTTCGGTTTCCCCTGTCAATCTTCATTCCACCATTTGCTCCACATTCACCCTCAACTATCATCTGGGGCTGGTACAATAGGCCAGAAGTGGCCGCAGTACAAGGGACTAAATCCCACCCCACTAGCAATAAAAAAAACTGTTTCTATTAGTAAATTCTTAATAGCGATCACAGTGGCCGAGCGGTCTACCGCATGAATTGTCTTCGCCCGCTCAAACACTGAGATCGTGGGTTCGAGTGCCACTTGAAGCATGGATGCCTGTGCGTTTATTGTTTTTTATGCAGGTAGTGGCCTTGAAACTGGCTGATCCCCCATCCAAGGAGTTCTACTGACTATGTAAAAAGATCGAGAACGTGAAGAAAAGGGCCAGGCCAGAACAAAGGACTGTAGAGCCACAGATGAATGAACGAATGAATGAAGAAATTTTAATGCGATGGATGTACTCGATGAAGTGATACCAGTTTCCCGATGTCTGGTCTAAACTCACTTCAATCGTAAATAGGCGAACAAGGCGCTCGGAGAGGCCCAACTCCAGCGCCCCCAGGGGGCAGTACAGCCCATTTTGGGAACCACTGGTCTAGAACGCTATGTGCTTGTATTTGAACGGTGCTCGGTACAGATATCGGGTAGGGCAGTATCTCGAATAGGCCACGACATCTTATTTCCAAATCTTTCCCAGTTCATCCTCTCATCAATCGTTCTACCATCCAACGCTATATAGGCGTACTGTTGAAGAATGCACACAAGGAAAAGTGATCCTTGAGAAACAGACGAAGTTGTGGCCCGTTCGAAGCATGACGGGGTTCAGTGACATGTCTGTTTGGTTACGGCGCTGTGAGGTGCGTAATAGTGCGGAATTTATCGGCCAGCTGAAGGCTCATTCAAATGTTGTAATATTCTGTATCACGGATTGGTTAGCAGTTTTTTTTATGCTAGTGGGGTGGGACCAAGTCCCTTGTACTGCGCCCACTGCTGGCCTATTGTACCAGCCCCAGATGATAGGTGAGGGTGATTGTGGAGCAATTGGTGGAATGAAGATTGGCAGGGGAAACCGAAGTACTCGGAGAAAACCTGCCCCAGCGCCACTTTGTCCATCATAAATTCCACTTGACCAGACCCGGGATCGAACCCGGACCGCCGCGGTGTGAAGCCAGCGACTAACCGCTTGAGCTATGGCGCGGCCCTGGTTAGAAATTTAAGAGTGACATCTGTGTGTGTGTTCAGCCATACAGACACTTAACTGATTAACTTCACTGAGCTGAACACTTCTTGAGAAGCCGCCAGTTGTGCAGCTCCTCAAGAATTCCCCAACATTTTACGAACACAAAGGTTCATTACCGCGTTCACAACAGCCCTTCACTGGTTACTATCCTGAACAAGATCAAACCTGTCCATACCACACTTCTCTAATATCAATTTTAATATTATCTCCACGCATACGTCTAGGTTTTCCTAGTGGTCTATTTCCTTCTTGCTTTCCCACCAGAATCCTACATGCATTCCTTTTCGCCCCATCCGTGCTAATGCCCTGCCCATCGCATCCTCCTCGAATTTATCATGAGACAGTCATTAAAATCAATTGCGTGACAATACCTGAGGATTTGCTACCATTATTGTGTCCTGTTGTTGCGGCATCATGTTCACCTTCAGCCGTTCTCCTGTCTGTTGTACGTATATTCAAGAGATATAATTAATCCACTTGGCACTTTACACACACCTACACCACACGTTATTATTTATTATTAACAAGTTTTAATAATATGTAGCATTTTGTTACGTTCATTTGCATATGTCCACTTCTGATTCTATATTGGTGTTTCAGTTGATGGATTTAGAGAAAAATGTGACCATCGGAATAATAAATGATGTCAAACATAGCTACACCACCAACACCTCAACCAACCTTCTCACAAGCCAGTCACAGACTGACGACTGGAATGGGAAACTACACGCCCGCCTGCCGCTACGCTTCGCTCCGTGAGCGTAATCCTCTCTCGGGGGCCCCTAGAGGACTCTGAATATAGGATTTATCAGTTGTATGTTCACTGGCAGAGAATGCTGCTGTTGTCATTTCGAGAAGTTGCCAATTCATTCGTTGCTGAGGTCTTTCCTGGAAATTCTGTAATTCCTGCTGGTGGAGAGTAGGAGAAATTACAGCATACAGATCATAACACCAATTCCTTCAGACCAATAAGTCAGCATGACATCTGAGGGTTTTCACATAGGTGAAAATTTGGACTGCGTGTTCCCTGAAAATGGAGGCAATAGGTTCCTCCGAAAGGTTGGTAGCCACACAAGACGGTGCATGGTGTCAAGACTTGGGACCGGATTTTTATGCCCTAATAATCACTTAAATATGTATGCATTTATGCATGAAAATCTTCCAAAATATGTACATACCAAATACCAAGTTCATACCAAATACTAAAATTGGTTTTACATTATTTTAAGAGCAACAAGTCAACATGTAAGTTAATTTTATGTAATCACTGAATGATTCACTTGCAACGAAAAGCTATACTTAGATACAAATCATGCAACAAAGCCAACATTTCTTCATGACAAGTTAAAAAAAAAGCAATGGTATTCACATTTAGCTCTCCAAACTTCCAACTTATCTTCTGCTGAAGTTCACAATTATTAAATATTTTAAGGTTTCCATAGTTGCCTCCTTTTATCTCTTAAGAATTCCTTATAGCGGGAAAAACTTCCTTCCACCTCACAGGAACTTAAGGACGCATGTACAAAAGTGGCTATCTCATCCACTGCTAGTGATTTTTTACTTGGCAGTTCAGTACGTTTACCCGCTAAAATGTCTTCAGTTTCTTCACAAATTTGTTCATATCCTTTTTTTTTTTTTTAAGAATGCTGTGTACTTTTTCCTTTACTGCTTCACCAACTGTTCCAGGAACCGAATTTAATTTGAAACAGTGGTTTTGAACGCACTTAACGACTGATACAAAGTAGTATTGCTATTTATTGCTTGCCTCCAGTGAGGAAATGGCGGATGGAAGATGAGAGAAGTGAGCAGATATATAGGAAAGATTAGTTTCTAGTTATGTGTTTTTTAGTACATCTTGGGCAATTGGAATTGATGTTGCGCTTTTGGGATCAAATGTATTCACGACATTCCTAACTGTTTCTAAATGTTCGGTGTAACAACTCGCTGCAAACAGCCACGTGCCCCAGCGCGTTAAAATTGGTTCTGGCGAAAGTGGAACGCTCGGTGCTACTGCTTTAAAGTCTTCTTTTCTGTATGGCGCTTTAACAAATACCTTCTTCGCAGAAGACACCAACTTGTCAACAAACGAAAAATTTGCACGAATTGTTTCTGCAACACGGTGCAACCCATGGGCAAGACAAGTCAAATGTGTCATATTTGGAAATATAACTTCAAGGGCAGTACCGGCTTTGATCATATAACTTGCGGCATCAGTCACGAAGAGCAATCGTGCTTTTACTTAATTACATTCGGCCGCAGCAAATTCATGGAATCGATACAAAAATTGGAAACTGCGGAGCTATTTGTGGTTTCCCATCCAGTGGGTATGGGGGGGGGCACTTTCACCAGGGGCAAAGCGGCCGGGGCCTGAAGCTGACCACTCACCTCCAACTAGTGCCAAGGTCAATAAAATGTGGATCTATACATCCACTCCCCCATACGCCTTCATGGCGTAGTGCTTAATTAGTTAAGCACAGGGACAACTTCACTATTGCTGCCAGTGTGCCCGACCATATCGACGCGGGGATGTCTGCAAGGGCGTGACCTCGCCTCACAGCGGCTGCGGATGAGACGTCACTGCACGCCCGCTTGCACGTCAACATTCCACCAAATGCACTGCACGCAACGTAATGCAACGACAAGGGGATTGTTGCGTGTATTCGTTGCTGCGGGAACGTGTTTACCGAGCCTTTGCCTAGCAACGTTAGGAGGGATATACATAGGGACACACAGGTTGATAGAAGGGATTTATGAATTATGCCATCAAGATGGGCTCAGGTGTCATGATATACATAAACATTTCATAAGGACTCTTTCAAAGTGCGGCCACACAGAGCGCTACGTACGCTATGTTCGCTATGTTAGCAGCATAGCAGAGTGTTTGTTCTCGGCAATATTTTTAAAACGTCGCGCTGGACGGGCATGCGCACTGGGCTCACTTCCAGGTGTCAGCTGCGCGCCTCAGTAATATCCCACTCTGATTACAACACGTGTTACGTATCATTCAGCGCAGTATTGAAAATGACATTGGAGGAATTAATTGAAGAAGTAAGGAAGTGTCCATGTTTGTGGAACAAAGGGTTAGAAGAATATCGGAACCAGAACATGCGGGATAATGCCTGGAACATGATTTCTGGAGAACTGAATACACCAGGTAATGTACAAACATTGTTCTTTTATCTGTAAGTGAAGAACTTAAAATATTTTCATCAACCCCATTCATTTGGAAACAGTGGCGGCTCGTAGCTAAAATTAGTGGGGGTGCTGCTCCAGAAAATTTGTAGCCTTTGTTTTAAAATTGTATAAAAGGAAACAAACATGTACAAAAAGAAAATTTATTCAGAAACATGATAAAATCCTAAAAGAACAAAATCAAACATTTTTTACTTACTTTAACCTAAATTGTTACAGTTCAAGCTTAATCTATTCATTTAAAAATGAAATCCATTCTTTTTAACCTTTATATTATGCTCATTGATTGAAAGTCTGTATGTCTCAGTAAGTTTCTCCTTAATACTTACGTTTCCAAAAAGTGACAGTGAAACTACATTATCAACGTGCTTCTTTGACTTCTCATGCTTTTCAGTTTTTCTTTCATTTTGTTTATATTTCTAAAAGCATCTTTTGTCCACGTGACATCACCCCCAAACAGCAAACACGGGAAGCA